TCCAGGGAGTCCAAAGCAAACACTTCTTTATACATCAACATCCGAATTTTTCTGGGCTCCAGCCTCACCCTACCCCAACCTCTGGGTAAACAGCCAGTTCTCCAAGGCCTTCCAGAAGGTGAGGAGAGTAGGGGCCTGCCTGATTTCGGGGGGAAGGGGGTTCCATAGGGCAGGGCCCATTATGGGGAAGGCACGCTTCCAAGGTCCCAACAGGTGACAACATTAAAGGAAGAGACACTTAAATGTTGTTAGGACCATTTTGCAAATACAGGTAGTCCCCTGGTTAAGAACGCCTGGGTTACGGATGACCCATAGTTAAAAACAGAGCCTACTGTAGCAAAATTCAAGTTATATACACAATAGTTCGAGTTAAATACACAATGGTTTGAGTTCATTACACACTATTACTTATACAGTATTATACAATAATACTGTTCCAGCTTACATACAAATTTGGGAACGACACTTGTTCTTAAACTGGGGACTACCTATAGCTTTACCAGGAATTAATCTAACTAGTCTTTTTGTCTTTTAGCAGGCTAGACAACAACTCTTTCCTGAAACAGATTTACTGACTAAACTCACACTACAATAAGCCCTATGCATCATGTTTGATGTTGGTTTCATAAATTGTGTAAACCTAGTGAAGTGGCTTATAATTGATGATTTATGGCAGCATGGTGTGTGAATCCAGCCAGAAGTGGTTTATGCAACGGGCCTTGGGTAGAGTAAACCAGAGCTTAATACATTGCACGGCCCCAGCAACTTTGGCTTAATTTGTTTTCCTGACTCCATCTGTTTTGTCCCTTTCTTTCTCTCCCTTCTTTGTCTGCCCTGTTTCTTCTGTTAGCCTTTTTCTCCAGAACTGGTCTGTCCTGGTTATGTAAAAATGTCTATCTCAGTTTCCTCAATTACTGCACACATCTGGGCAAGCTTGACATTATGAGTTAATGTCCAGATGGTTGGACATTCTCGCCCTTCAACTGGATTTATAATTTTCTGTGAGCTTAACCACTGGCCACCACATGTCTCAAGAAAGTGCTCTTGTTTTAGTGGAGCTCTAACAAAGAGATTTTATTGTTATAGAACAACCATCAAGAATTAGTTGCTCTGTATGCTATTCAGCACAGAGATATAGCTGCATTAGGCTGCTCTTAATACCTCCAAGGCTGCTTTTAATGGCCCTCATGACAGGGTGGTCACTTCTGAGTATCACAGCCTCTTAGGGCTTTCCAAACAAAACCAGTATAATGAATTACAGAGAAATGAAGCCAATGGAAATCCTGGTGCATTGGTACAGTTGTGTTTTCAGCAGCCAGGTCCAGAAGAACCTATATGCCACCTGCAGCTTGTTATGGAACACATCATAAAATCACAGCCTACTAAATTAAGGCAAACTCAGTCCATAATTTTATGTATTTGCCAACAAGAATGCTCCTCTGAATTAACACAGGATAATTGCAGAATCCAGCTACCTGTACCAAAATAATCTGGGAGTAACCAGCATTATTGGGTCATCTAGCACTAAATTAGAATCTTTGCTGCATGTGTTTCAAATGGAAACCAATTGTTCAAAATAATGATCTAAAAATAGTGAACTTCCATTCTATACAATGCAATGATGTTGAAACATTTTAGTATGTTGCGATCAGTATTTTAACAAAGGATTGTTTCTTAAATGTGGTAATGTGAGCAACAAGTGACTTTGCTAAGGCCCTGCTTGCAGTTAATAAAGTTGTTAACTTACATTAACCAACAGCCACCCAGGCTTAATGCAAGGCAAGGATTTATTAACTGATCTACCTTGGAAGTTAATGTGCCAAAAACTAAAGTGTTCAGGCTGAGATAACACCGACAAACAAAGGCTAAATTATATGGGTGGATTTATTTTGGTGTTCTGGGCTTCAGATTTTAACTTTAAATAGCTTCTAGTCAAAATATTATGTTTGTGTGTGCATATATACAGTATTTGTGTGTCAGAGTGCTGTCTCTGAACAATACTTAAGAACACTGGGATTTATTTTTTTTTTTACATTATCATTGCTTGTGCACTATTACTGAGAGAAATAGCTGAGGAATAAGAACTAGCCAAGTTAATTCATGTGTTTCTGGAGAACTCTCCATTTGAAGATGAAACAGATTGCTCTGAGACCTAAAATGTGAAAAGTTCCAGAAAAGCAGCTTAAAGAACTTAGACAAATCCCCAGGAAACCCAAATTATCAAAACACAGTTATTCTGGGGACTCATGTCTGATTGAGAAGATAAAAGTACTACATAGCTGCGAGAAGAGAATCTGGGCCTGGATGTGGATGTGGAAGCTCTGGTTTAAATCACTGTTCTTTGGTAATATCGCTACTTTATGAATATTAGTAGCCAAGGTCTTAGAGATCCATATCATATCTATTCTTGAAAAAGATCTATGTCTTTCAGAAAAATAAGTATATTCTTTTGAGTCATCATCTTTATATCTCCATACATCAACGAACTCTAAATTGTCCATTAAATCAAAGAAATCACCATGGAGGAATAGTTGGTGAAACTGATAGAACATGCTAAGATGGACAAACTGACTTCTTTGATTAGAGAAAGGTCATTATTGATATTCATCAATGACTTGAAACCCCTTATGGACTTTTTGCGTAAAAAAGAAAGATTTTGTGACTTATGGTTTTGATGATTAAAAAGAATAAGTTATAGAAAGAAAGGAATTATGATGTAATCTTAGACAGAGAGGTTTGATTAGAATTGTACGTAGAACTGTCAAGAGGAAGATCGGAAGCCATACACACACACACACACACACACACACACACAAACACACAGTATATATATATATTTATGTTTACTGTTCTGTACTTTTTTTCCTATCTCCTTTTTTGTCTCTTCTTTTCCTTTCTTTTCTTTTTCACATTTACTATATTTTTTCTTTGAATGTATTTCTTATTATATATGTAAAATCTTTTAATAAAAAACTATTTTTTTAAAAAAGGAATAAACCAGAAGCTAACACAGCTCAAATAGCAGTAGAGTGCCTTGGGTGAACTGTGAGGCACCCCAAACTGCCCTTGTCTCTTCATTCTGGGCCAGCTGCAATTTCTGGATGGTCCCCCAAGGGCAGCCCCATGTAGAATGCATTGGAGTAATCCAGCTGGGAATTGACTGAGAGTGAATGATCATGAGCAAGGCCTTCTGGTCCAGGACGTACAATTGGCACACAAGATGAATCTGAGCATAGGCCCCCTCCAGCCATGAGTTCTTTGAGCAGGAGCCACGAGTCCAGGAGGACCCTCAATTTGTGTACCAAGTCTGTTTGGGAGAGTCCTACCCTGCCAAAAGTCAAAGATGATACCTCACCAGAACCGAGGGGACCAAAGACCCAGATCCACTCCGTCTTGCTAGGGATGAGACAAAGCTGATTCCTCCCGATCCAAACCCTTACAACCTCAAGCAATGGCTAACATTAGGACAGCATTGATTGGTTGGCCATGGATGGAGATATATACTGGGCATCATCAGCATACTGATGGTACCGCACCCCCATACTTCTGCTGAAAGATCCAGGAGGGCCAGGATGCATGCACCACTCCTGTCCCAGGCCCAAGTCAAGAAGCACAGTGAAAAATGGGACTAGATTGAAATATAAATAGGACTAAACTAACGATAACAGGTACAGCAACCAGCCTTAGAACTGACAATGAGGATACAGTAGTGGTAGATAGCTTTTGCTTTTTAGGATCAGTTATCAACAATAAAGGAACTGCTGACAAGCACTCAGTAAGATAGCAAAGAATGCCTTGAAAAAGTTAATCAGATGCCATGACATGGCATCTGATTATTGCCTGCAGGATTCTGATTGTTCCATGACATGTCTGTACATACAACCATCAGAATCCTGCAGGCAATAATTTTCCCTGTGACACTCTATGGAAGTAAAAGTTGGATTCTAAAGAAGCAGGACAGAAAGAGTATTGACACTTTTGAACTTTGGTGTTAGAGGAGACTCCTAAGAATAGCCAAAAAACCAAACAATTGGATCATAAAACAAACCAATCAAGAGCTCTCATTTGAGTCAAAAATGGCCAGACTCAAATTATCATATTTTGGATACATTATGCAAAGATCCAGCTCCCTGAGAAGTCCATAATGTTGGGAAAGGTGGAAGGAAAGAGGATGACCAACAGCAAGGTGGATGGACTTGATTACAGAGGCGATAGATGCATCATTGGAAGAAATGAAGGGCCAGGTTGGGAACTGAACATCCTGTAGAAAGTCTATTTATATGGTCACCAAAAATCAATACTGACTTGATGGCACATAATCAATTGAAAAACCAGTCTTTCAACAAGAAAAGGGGCAGAAAAGTACCTCAAAGAGTAGACAATCTTGGTGGGGGAGTAACACAGGCATAATGTGACCTCTCTGAAATTATTATTGACCACGGATGTCCCTTTGGACAACATGCTGAATTGGAAGAAAGTGGCAATGTCTTTACTGCAAAATTATTTTAATAACAACAACAACAAAACAATAAAGCCCCTGTACTCTTTTACTCATACTGAGATCCATACCCAAATATTATGCTTGTAATCAAGCTGGACTGAGCTATATTATATTAGCAACCTACAGTAAAAACAAAAAGATATATAGCCATTTGAGATGACCAGAAAGCCCAGATACTGATACCCAGTAAATGTATAGCATGTCTAATGGCCCCTAAGTTTAGAGGAATAAAACAATGTTGGGTAAACATTATGTGCATTTATATTTATTCTTTCAAAAGGCACCCATCTCATATTTTGGAAATAAGGCTGAAATTACTACTGTTTCTCCAAGGCAGAGATACTAAACTATATTTTTAAAATTCTAATTCCTTGTTTTTAAAGTTTAAGCACATGTAGATATAACAACAATAACAACAAAACACTACTAGTGCCAACTGAACTGGAATTATAAAGCTCCTCTTTTGACATAAGTAATGTTGAAAAAGTCTACTACTCACCTCTGTTAAACCAGAAACTTCTCCTCGGGCAAATGGCCTTGTAAGAGATGGGGTGAACACTTTGGCCTCTGATACTGGCTGTCCTCTCATAAAATGCTTCCCTGCTTCAAAAATGTCCACTTCTACCATCTTACCCATGAATTCAGGGTTCTTTGGCACAAGAATCTTTAAAAGAAAATATATCATTTATTTGTTTCTAATACTTTGAAAACTATTTATGGTTTGACATTCAAAAAGGAAGAAAGATAAACATAAAGAGTGCCACCTTCAAGTGTTCATATGCGGTATCTTAACATTTGGTAGCATTTGCATTTGCCATAATAGAAACCTACACAGTATTTGAAATGTATTATTGTTTCTATGTAAACCTTTTCAGCATTTTTTATGTATAAATTATATATAAATTATAACTATTTATAAATTATTAATTTATAATTATAACCTTAACAGTGCTTAACATTTCAATATATACTTGTGATATTGATGGCAATAGAATTATTAAATTATTCTTATAAACATATATTGTTAACAGTGAACTACAAAGCATTTCTGCCAATTAGAAGTTGATTTCATGTTTCTAAGATCTGGAATGAAAAAAATTAGAAGTCACCCAAATAAAGATATCTTAATATGAAAGATGTCAATCTATTTAATGAAAACATTGAAGAGAAACCAATTAATAGAAAAATCAACTTTAAATCAATCCATTTTCTGCAACTCAGAGAGCTCCAGATGTGCTTGACAACAACTCCAGTCCCAGGGTTGGTGGGAGCTGTAGGTATCAAAGTTGTAAATAATGCTTCGTATGAAAGTTACAGTTAAGGAGGACAAAAAGGACAATTGGTTTCTTATTTTTAAACTGTTACCTGTTCGTAGAACTTATTATGAGCAACATAAAACTTGGAATCAAATGATTCTTCTGTAACAAGAACTTTCTGTCTCTCCCCAATCTGTGAAATAAAAAATGAAAGTAGCAGTCAGCGAAAAGATGCTATTGTAAATCCCCCTTTCTCATGCAATTATCAGGTTGATGTGGGATAATTTAATAGCCACTGGAGGAAAAAAAACCTATTACATCTAATTATCCTTTGGACGGATAAGAGACTAAGGCCCCTTCTACATGTAAGGGATGTGGTGATCTGAGATCGATGTGGCTCTTTTATTCCCATTACACTGTGTTGCTTCCAGCTGTATTGGAAAGCTGAAATTAACTCTGTAAGTTAATCATCTTGGCTTATACTCCAGAGAAAACACTGTGATGACAGTTTCCTCTGCAGCTGTAGGATAGGGCAGCTTCCATTAGCAGAAAATCTTACCTTGTCCTGCTTCCCACCCCACCTCCTTCCTGTAGAAATCAATGGGCTCGACTTTTTGGTTTCTTCACCTTGTCCTTTCCCCCGAACGGAGGATTGGATCTGGCTTGCTTTCCCCCGTCCCTTCTCTTGCCATGTAAAGTCAATGTGGCAAAGTGAAGAGTGAACATGGGAATATGGCATCAGCTGACGCTCTCCCATTGGCTGGTGAGAGCATTGGTCAACTGCTAAGACAAGTACAGTGGAACCTCGGGTTACGAACACTTCTGTTAACAAACTTTTCGGGTTACGACCAGCTCCGGCAGCAAAATTTTGCTTCGGTTTGCGAACTCCACCTCAGGGTACGAACAGGATACGCGGCCATTTTCCCTCCCGTGACATGGTCCGCGGCCATTTTTCTGCCCCTGACATGTGGTCTGCAGCCATTTTCCGCCCCTGACACGTGGTCCGCAGCCATTTTTCTGCCCTGACACGTGGTCCGTGGCCATTTTTCCACCCGACACGTGGTCCGTGGCAATTTTCCGCCCCTGACACGTGGTCGTAGGGAGGGGGACTCTCCCTCCAAGCAATAGCCGCC